TTCAGGATGGGGGTGGGCAAATGGACAAATATTTGATGTTGTTTCAGGGTATGAGACCACATTTATCCAGTGGATTTTGAGAAGTGGCTGATGAGGCAAAAACTATTATAGATGAGTGGTCTTGTCCACCAGAGAGAAATGTTACACTTGCCACTTATGCCTTTGAGGAATAAGCTGAGAGACGGAGACGAAGACGGTTACATGAGAAGTTTGGAGGTAGAACCTGTAGCATGGTGCAGCGAGATAAGTTCATGAATACATTTAGAGACTAGTTTGTATCACTTTCAACTAGAAGACAAATGGATGATAATTTATCAGACTAATAAAGAGAGATTGGTCAAACTTGCACTATGAAACTAAATTCACTATAATTTCAAGCTATAAAACTCAGTTGGTTCCAAACTACCAGACGAAGTGTCATAGATTTTTGTTTGAGCTGAAGGATATTAGTAGGTAATCATTGATTCCTAATTAATTTGTTTTGATAGAGCGGGTCAAAATAATTTCACTGGATTTAGAAGCTACCCGGAGGAGAAAAGACTTTTGGAAGAAGAGGAATTCAGAGATTTCCAAGTTTCCTTATGGCTCACAGGGCAGACTATCATTTCAGTCAGGAAATACAAGTTCTAAGAAAGAAAGATCGAGCAGTGTTGACAACTAGACTGAAGCCAGAAAATTTGATAGGTGTTAGAAGTTTTATAAGGATGAATGTCTTTCTAGATCAAACATGTGTTTTTGGTGCCCACTTTTATTCACAAAGGACACTTACTCAGTTTTTCTTTAGAAATGGTTCCTGAATTCTAAGAGTTTTTGACATACTCTAAAATGACAAGACCTCTTTTGCAAAGACCTAAGGTTTTGTTTATTGTATTTTTTGTACTTCATTTTTTGTTTAATGCAAATGCATAACCTTAAAAAAAATCAGGACACACGGCAAGGAATTGCCCTAGATTTGGGATATAGGACTCTAGCAAATTTTAGGGATAGTGCTACACCACCTCAGAGTGGTTTTAGCAGGTTGAGGACAGTTGAGTCTTCAGAATCAGTGTCAAATCAAAGTTAAACAAAACAGACAGTCTAGCCAAGGGATTATGCACTTTCACAGAAGGAGACTAAGAGCTCCTTTAAAGTTGTCACATGTATGTTTTATATTTAAAAAAAATTAACCAATTGTACTTTTAATTATAATAAAATTCATGTTATGTCATTCATAAAATGTTGCAATAGCTTACGTCATTAATAAGTTAATCATAAATGTTCAATGCAATGGTTTTAATGTAATAGGTACCATACATCTGCGGAATCGACTAATAAGTGTATTATTTTATTCAGGAGAATCACATTCTTTTATAGCTCAGGAATTGATGAAAATGAAGCAATTCAATAACACCTTAAAATTTGTGGAACTATCAGTTAGAATGTCACATGTACTTCTGTGAAAATAATCAATTATATAAGGTGAAGCTAATAATTCGTGGAAATGATATTGACGCACAACTGATTGTGTTGGAATTTGAGATAATTTTGGACATCGATTGGTTGTCAAAAAGCTATATAAAAATTGATTACAATAAAAAGATTATCAAAATAAATGTACTTGAGGCAGAAGTTAATTTCTATATAATAGAGGTTAGCATCCATGATAATTATCTGCTTGAAAACTTTAAAATGTTGAACCGTGAAAACAAAGGTTTTCTTACTGAAGTGATAAACACTTTAAGATACTGAAATCTTCAAGTGATATTCTATTGGTAAAAAAATTTCCATATGTATTTTTTGATTATTTATCAGGGTTATCACCATTGCGAGAGATAGACTATACTATTGAGCTATTATCAGATTCTTAGTCAATATTTGTCACACCTCAACTAGTCACCCTTTTTAGGGTAGGCTGGGATGCGAAAGAGGAGGATTATTCAGTCAGACTAAATTCTCACCAACTCTAATCCAAACTTGCAGAATTAAAACTCAGTGGGTGATGAAATAGTCTAACTAAATTGCCACAAACATACACGATACATTATATTTTACAAATAATTCATAGACATATTCAGAAGCGTGGAAAATCACAACCTCAAAACATATAAACTATACATAGCTACTAAATCCAAAATATAACAATACATTCTCAAAATATTTGTACAAGCTCCCAAAACTATCAGTGCAAAACTATACAATCACACCTAACTACTTGCCCCGATGCTCGTTGCCACTACCTGAAAGGCAACAACGAAGTATTGGCTTTATTATCAGAGACGACAAAGGGGATTTCATTTTGGCAGCCGGTCAAGGTACAAAACATTGGGGCAGTGCTCAAGTTGAGCTCCTTGCTATTACTTCTTTAAAGCACTTCCTTGATCATTGGATGTCTAAAGCTGATTAAATTATTATTGAAAGTGATAACTTTAATTTTATCTCCTCTCTTCAACAATCCACTAATCTTAAAGTATGGAAGGAACAGATCAACCACAAATTTGCAATGAACATGCTTTTCTTACTACCTTTAA